CGCTGCGTCGGTGTATAGTACTGCTCTCCATCGAATAAATTTAATGTATTGATGTATTTTTTCTTCTAATAAGATGACTTTCACGATATTTTGACGCCATGCCATGAGGTCCATTTTTCTCGTCTTTCTTATTTGTTTATTTTTGTTTAAATTTGGAAGGATCCTGGCAACGTGGATGGATTACTTCTTCTCTCTGCTTACCTTCCATCCTTCAGCTGACCGCCCACACTTCCTTCCGACTGTGAATGCTCTCATTACACTTGAAAATAGATCCACGACTTCCGTTCTCGTGATGGGTGGCCATATGCCTTTGCGAATATATTAAGTCGTCGTTTATACTGAGTTACTTTACCACCCACTTTGAGGCAAACACGAGAGAGGAAATTGTATTAGTGCTGCAAGGACAGGACTGCACATTACGAAATTCCATCGTTATCTGTAACGTTGGAAAAAAAGGGATGGGATTTGCTTGTCGAAGTAAATTGCAAAACATAATTGATTTAACATATACAGCCACAAAGACAAAGAACAGCTGGAATATCGGCAACGTTGCAAACAGTTTTCCTTCATAATATACAAACATGGACTAAAAATACCATGAAACGTTACCCATATTTTACTACCTACTCCATAAATCTTATATCATAGTATGAATGATGATAGTAACAAATATCAAATCTTCTCAAGATATGGTAAAGAAAGTTTACCCGATAAATTAAATCACATTAGGAACAACTGGTTCATTGTTGCAAGTCAGGCAGTCGCAGAAAACTATCTAGAAATCATAGAACCTAGTAAGTTATATTGATGTTAGATAAATGACAGATAGACGAGAACGAATGCGTAACTGAAGATGATGATTAAATAAAAAGTCGGGGAATTTGAAGCCAGGGCTCGTTTATTTATCTATTTATTTATTATTTTTATTGGTCTATTTCCTTTTTCTTTTTTTCTTTTTACAAGCCCCTTTGTTTTTTCCACTATCTCCTGTAACCTAGAGTGAGTCTCCCTCTAACCCTTTTCTACATTTCAACCCCTTTATTTTTTGTTTTGTTTTGTTTTCCTCTTGTTAGTAATCATTTTCTTGTTCTTCTTCTCCTTTCTCTCTCTCTCTCTCTCTCTCTCTCTCTCTCTCTCTCTCTCTCTCTCTCTCTCTCTCTCTCTCTCTCTCTCTCTCCCTCTCTCTTTCTCTCTCTCTCTCTCTTTATATATCTATCTATCTAACTCTCTCTTCATCCTTCCCTCCCTCCCTCCTTCCCTCTCCCTCCCTCCCATCCGTGACGTTACCGCCTAAAAACAGAATTTACTTAACCGCGATCACTTGACTTGCACCCTCGCCATTAATCTCCATTGAATATAATATGACCATTTCTCACCTCCCATTCCAAACACCCTTCTCTCTCCTGGTCCGAAAGTCGTGCCCGGATCGTAAAAAGCCGAGATTGTAAATAGGATGACCAAGAAAGCGTCAGTCATGCGGCCTGCTTAAGCATCCCCCCGACGTGGCTACAAGGAGGGACGGGTTCTAATGAGGGCCTGAAATCGATACCGTATTTATTTTCAAAACTCCGCGGGGCTAATAAACCTCGCTAAATTTCATTCCCCTCGGCGGATGCTCTTCAGTTTTTTTTGGTGTGTGTATGCTTTTTTTTTGCTGTTTTTTTGCGTAGGTGTGTTTTCTCTCTTTCTTTCTCTTCCACTCTATTCTTTTTATGGGGGTGGGGGACTAGTATTCTGACATATTTCTCTCTCTCTCTCTCTCTCTCTCTCTCTCTCTCTCTCTCTCTCTCTCTCTCTCTCTCTCTCTCTTTCTCTCTCTCTCTCTCTCTCTCTCTCTCTCTCTCTCTCTCTCTCTCTCTCTCTCTCTCTCTTCTCTCTCTCTCTCTCTCTCTCTCTCTCCCTCCTCCCTCTCTCTCTCTCTCTCTCTCTCTCTCTCTCTCTCTCTCTCTCTCTCTCTCTCTCTCACTCTCTCTCACTCACTCGCTCTCTCTCACTTTATCTATCTTTCTCTCTCTCTCTTTATCTCTCTTTCTCTCTCTCTCTTTCTCTCTCTCTCTCTCTCTCTCTCTCTCTCTCTCTCTCTCTCTCTCTCTCTCTCTCATATTCTCTCTCCTCTCTCTCTCTCTCTTATATATATGTGTGTGTGTGTGTGTGTGTGTGTGTGTGTGTGTGTGTGTGTGTGTGTGTGTGTGTGTGTGTGTGTGTGTGCGTGTGTGTGTGTGTGTGAATGTATGTATGTATGCATATACAAATATCTGGTGTGACTATGAAGGAATCATGAAAAATGCCAGGCTCTCACGTTTTTCGTCCTGACCGCCATAAGTTCCTCTGAACCCGAATTATATCACCATAGAAAACAAAGACAAAAAGAAAAAAAAAAATCTTATCCAACCCTTAGATTTCCTTCTCAAAATATTTATCTCTCTCATTCTGTTTGTGTTTTCGTTTTGCTAACGTTTCCCTCACTGCTTTCTGCTGCGGTCGAACACACGCGCCCGTTCACCACAAACACCTGCTTAGCGACGCCTGTCAACACATTCTCCTTCTCCTACTTACGCACGCTCACTTCTCCCGTGTCTGAGGGTGTGTGTGTTTGTCTGTGGGGGCAAGAGGGTGGGGGTGAGGCGTGTATGTATGTGTGTGTATGATTTGTGTGTGTGTGGCTGCATGTTTCCGTGTACGCGCCTTTGGGATTAATTGCAATCAGTTCGAAAGTTTAGTGGCCTGTGTTTTTTTTTGTTGTTGTTTTTTTCCAAGAAGATCCATTTCATCTCTCAAGCCTTGTCCTTTTTTTTCTCTACTTGTCTTGCCTCTTATAATCCCTACTCTCTTCTCGTTTTCCCTCCTTCCCTCCGCTTTCCCTCGCTCTTCATCTTCGAACTCGTCATCAACGTCATTAAGGATCACAGAACGCATTTCACTTATGCATATCATTAGCACTCCACCCATGGAACGCTAGATATTTTAAGAGGCGGGGCTGAGTTAATGGCTGGAGCAGAGGACGTGAGGGTTGAATCGCTAGCTATTAGGTAACAGGTAGATAAGCCTTATGAATATAGTAGTTACTACTTTTCTGCCATGAATGTTCTCTTTGGACTAGTGTTGCCAATAGTCTTATATGTTGATGGTGTGAAGAGAAGTTAAAATTCGACTTTGTGTGATGCTTTCTATTCCTCTCCGCTTCTCGGGCACCAATATCACAGATTTAGGCAATATTTGCTTTTCAACAGCGATGAAACGGCGATGAAAACAATAAGGGTTTTA